CTAGTACTGTTTTTGTCAATGTATTGTGTACTTGAGTGCCGTTTTTGTAAATGTGTCGTGTACATGTTTATTTATAAACGTATGTGTTCCTTTTCTTTCGTACGTGTTTATTGATATATCTTTACTGCAGTGTTTTCGGACGGTACTAGCTCTTACTGCCAATATAGGAGTATTACATATATGGCTGCTATGCCGTCCTCCCTAACCGCAAACACCGTACCGCAACCAAACGCAACTGCTTTTCCTGTTGGTGATCCTTCCGCATACATTGCTTCCACATGCATTTCATCGTGTTTGAATTCCAATTCAAATCCGCCGCAACCAAAAGCAAGAACGGTACTATTGACAACCGCCTTCGTCAAAGTACGCGATTGTTCCGGTTACTGGCAACCCGCTCGCTTGTTGTTCGATTCTAGCTCGCATACCCCCTTCATAACCGAGGCGCTAGTTCAACGTTGGGTCTACCACGAAAGGTGTCTGAAGTTTTCATCACTGGAATTGGGTCGTCGCAAGGAGGTCGTTCAAGAGGGGAGGTACTACTTTCCCTGTCATCTTTTTGTTCAGGTCAATGTTTCAATGTCAACGCATTGATTTTACCAAAAATCACGAGCGAATTGCCAACGCAATCGTTAGCAGTTTCAGCTTTGCTGCATGTGCGAAGCTTGTTCCTTGCCGATCCGCAGTTCACGAGGCCTGGGCGTATCGACATCTTGATAGGTATGGATGCCTTGGATCAGTTTCTTTGCGCTGAGTTCCGTAAAGGTCCACCTGGTACGCCGATGGCTCAACGAACAGCTTTCGGTTGGACGCTGTTTGGCAGCGTGGACGGAATCGAAACTGCTCCGTCTCATCTGCAGTCGCTGAATTGCGACGTACAGCTGTATAGAGCGCTTACCCGATTGTGGGAGCTGGAAGAAGTACCACAAAAGACCCATATCACTGATGAATAGCGTTATTGTGAAGACTGTTTCGAAGCAACGCACCGCAGAGCATCGGACGGTCGATTTGTAGTGGAGCTGCCACTAAAATCTGACGTTCCCTTGGGAGCATCACGAAATAATGCTGTTCGAAACCTACTAAGGCTTAAGAGAAGACATTATCGAGATGAAAACTTACGCCTGCGCTACAATGAGGTTATGAAGGAACTCATCGAGATGAAACATATGGAGCTTGCACCAGAATCATCAAACCAGACGTTTTATATGCCGCACCATCCTGTAGTAAAGGAGTCCAGCCTCACGACTAAGCTGAGGGTTATGTTCAATGCATCCGCTAAATCCGCCACCGGAAACTCGTTAAACTACGCCTTATTTGTATGGCCCCAATTGCAGCAAGATTTGTTTTCGATTTTAACGCGCTCCAGAATGCATCGTTACGCAGTAACCGCGGACATCGCAAAAATGTACCGCCAACTCTGCGTATCGCCGAAACATGTAGATTTACAATGAATTGTCTGGCGTCGTGATCCCTCTTTGCCAATACAGGATTATCGCATGTTACGTGTGACCTACGGTGTGGCAGCCGCGTCCCACCTTGCAGTCAAATCGCTACAACAAACCGCAAAATGTTCGTCGAACGTTTCTGAGAAAGCTGCTTTCGTTATTCTCAACGACTTTTACGTGGACGACCTCTCACTGGTACAGCTTCCAAAGCAGAGCTGATACTTTTGCAAAGAAACATATCTGGAATACTCCAGCAAGGTGGCTTTGAACTCCGAAAGTGGGCGTCGAACTGTGCCGAGTTTAGCGAATATATTTCGAACGCGTCGAAGACTATATCGCACTATCTGGTCGAGGGTAAAGATGTTCACGCTTTGGGATTAATGTGGAACACCGAGGACGATTTCTTGACGTTCACAATTAGCATGAAAAAACCGCCCGCGGCCTTAACGAAAATAACTTTTTTATCGGATGCCAGCACGCTTTTCAACTCGCTGGGACTGCTTGCTCCAGCGAGGATAAGATCGAAGATGTGGTTCCAGGAGATTAAGCGCGATAACGTTGGTTGGGATGACCTTATTCCCGACTCCATTGCAACAAAATGGTTGGAGCATCGAACGGAGCTGAAGGTAATTTCAAATTTAAAGATTTGTCGCTGGCTTGGTCTAGGAACGACGGGGTCGCTTACAGAACTGCATGTTTTCGCTGACGCATCTGAACGCGCCCATGCCGCTGTTATGTACGCACGCACCGGGCAAATCGACGGCAGTGTCACCGTCGCGCTGATTTCATCAAAAACCAACAACAACAACAACATTGCCGCGACTAGAGCTGTGCGCTGCGCATCTAGCCGCCAAACTAGTACGACGCGTTCTGCACAGTTGGGGTGATCTCCGCTATCCGCTGTATGCATGGACAGCCTCCACCATCACGTTGGCGTGGCTACAAGATCAACCTAGCAGATGGATTACCTTCGTCGCCAACCGTGTTGCTGACGTTCAAGAAACCCTGCCTCCAGAGGGCTGGAGAGGTGTAATCCCGTCCGAGCTACTGCGTCAACAGCTTTGGTGGACTGGTCCTGAATTTCGGAAGGGTCCAGACGAGTTCTGGAAGAAACCGTTACCAAAGAATTCTCCGCTTGCGAAGATGATTATCCGTGAGATACACGAGTTTACACTACACGCTGGGCCCCGCATCATGCAGACAGTCTTGCAACGCCGATATTGGGTTATTGCCGCCCGCAGCTTAATCCGCAGCATTTACCACAAATGCGTGAAATGCACCTTGTTTAACCGCAATCTCACCACACAGTCTATGGGAGACTTGCCTGCAGCTCGAATTACGTATGCCCGTTATTTTACACGCACCGCTGTCGATTTCGCTGGGCCCTACAAGTATAAATTCACCCATGGAAGAGGGGCGAAGGCTACTAAAGGCTACATTTGTTCATTTGTCTGCATGTGCACTGGCGCGATGCATTTAGAATTTGTTGGAGACCTGTCAACGCTAGGGTTTCTTAATGCTTTCAAGAGGTTCATATATCGCAGAGGTTATTGCAAGCTGATGACGTCCGACAATGGCACAAATTTTGTTGGCGCCGAGAAGGAGTTGCGGAGTGCGTTTCAAACGTGCATGGCCGATACCAGACTACGTTCATTTTTCGCGGACTCCAAAATCGAGTGGCGTTTCAATCCCCCGTCTGCGCCTCACATGGAAGGTTACTGGGAAACTGGTATTAAGCGAACAAAATATCATCTTAAACGCGTACTGGGCGAAACTCTTCTGTCTTATGAAGCGTTCAACATGCTGCTGACAGAAGTGGAAGCTTGCGTAAACTCCCGCCCGCTCTGTGACAACTCTACATCTGTTGATAACCTAGAAGCCCCAACTCCCGGTCATGTCCTTGTCGGTGAACCGCTGAAATCACTCCCAGAACCTGAGGGTCAAGGGTTCTGTGGCAGTCTTCGTCAGCAATGGCATGCGATCTCTGCCATAAGACAGCATTTCTGGCGACGATGGCGAGACGAGTACCTTCTCAGTTTACAGCGTCGCTCAAAGTGGATTCGTTGCTCACGCAACGTCGAAGAAGGCGATGTGGTCGCAATTTTCAACGAGCCTACTCCGCCGACAAAGTAGACGCTGGCGGGAGTTATAAAATGCCACCCCGGTACAGATGGACTCATACGAGTGGTCACTTTGAAGACGCCAAATGGCGAATTGGTTAGACCGATCGTGAAGCTTTGCGTTCTGCCGACGAGAGGCGACTAGTTCTGCGAAGAAGATCCATAGACGTGAAGTATGCACATTGGCATTAAGTCATACCTTTTAGTATTTTTGCATTGTTAATTAATTTGCCTAATTTTCCACACTGTAATTGTAGTTCAAATGTTGAACTTATCATGGTTAGTTCAAGGGCGGCGGTATGTTGGGTTCAGTTATGCTAATTGTAAGGTTTTGGTATGATTATTACAACATAAGGGTTAATGCACAAGTCTACACAAACGTAGCGATTGTAATTTGACATTCCTCTTTTTGCTTTGTTCGTAACACTTAACTATAACTAGTTTTATAAGAACTTATTAAACTCTTGTCTAGGAGAATTCGTTATGTACTCGACCCGCTTACACGTTCGCCGCCGCTCAGTAACTTTTCGCTAGTTGTACCCGAATTTTTTATATTAGTGAAAACCCTGCCTGAATATTTAGATTCATTAGTTTAAGTAAGCTAAATAAAAGGAACTGAATCCCGAGATACTCCGCGTTTTATTTGGACATTTATTTGGAAGGGATTCCGCCGCATCAAGGTGTATATATTTTCAGCTATTAATTTTAGATTTATTATATAATAAAATAAATTGTAATTTTTAATTAGTATTAGTTTTAAATGTATATCGATATTTTAAGATGTATATATTTATTAATTCTAGATTTATTAATAATAAAATATATTATTTATAATTTGTATCATCAACTATTCTTTTTTGATGAATTATATAATAAAATATTATGGGTATTGACCATGTCGTAAAGTCGTTAAAATTTTCAATGTAAAATAACTGTTAAAATGAAATTATAGGATGTGTAACTACGCCAAATTTTTTTAAACTTCTATAATATATTAGTAGCTGTTTATACTCTACGAATCCTTTACAACCTTGGTAACCGTTATTTTACAGTGAAATATTTTACGACTTTCCGATGCTTACGACATGCTAATTATAATCATTTCTTTTTAATTAATTTAATTTATATTTTTAGATTAACATAAAAAATAAAATTTTACTACTTAAAAACATGTAAATATTATTATTGTATACATGTTTGTACATAACACACGCACACGCGCTCTAAAACACATATGTACATATTTTACCTTAATTCACAAAGGCCTTAACCAACACTTTTTCGAAACTACGTTTTTCACAGATTTTGGTGGGATGTATTAAAATACACATTAAAAATTTTTAAGTGTTAGTACCAAAAACAAAGCAGTTACATGCCACTTTTTAAAAAGCCCTACCTGTTTTTGATACTCTTTTTATAATGTTTTTTGCTTTTCCTCTTAAATTACAAATTTTTTGGTTAAAGAATTTGTGAATTAAGTTGACGATGTAAATCTATGGCATTTTGATAAAGCAACTTCTGGTATAGCATATTTCACGAGGCAATGCTTTCTAACCAGCTTATGAGATGGTAATAAAATTTACCGGTTACACAGAATGCAAAAAGGGTTTAAAAATTAACAGGAACTTTATTTACTGGTTACACAATGAAATATATAAGACAAAATGGCCTATCTAGACATAAGTTATTTTACCAAAACGCCACATATATGTATATTCTCAAAACGTTATTTACATTTATTAATATAACATTATTTTTGATTTTTTTCTAGGAAATACAATTGTGATTGATTTGAGGTGTTGGCGTGCCATTCAGGTGATTTCATCAGCGAATAGCTATAGCGTAAAGGCGCGAAAAACGAGGTAAATATATTTTTTTAATACAAATAGAAATTTGTTGTAACTTTTCTATATATATCTACTTTTAATATGTTTTCCAACTTTTATTAATTAAAATGCATTTGAATTAGTGGAGTAGTAGTTTATTTGCTATTTTCTGTTATAGCTTTTATTACTTCTAAAATCTACTTACGCTAATTCACATCGGGGTATGATTTAAGGACATATATATGTGACCTGGTCTACGAAAAGGGAGCTTACGTGCGAAAACTAGTTTTCTGTGAAAAAGCTGTTAGAAGTAAGCAACTCGTTTCGTCAGTTTCTCATTATCTCGTTAATTGTTCTCCGCGCCGGACGTCCAGTAAGTGTTGTTGTTGGTCCAGTAAGTGTTGTTGTTGGTCGGAATATTATTATAGTTCATCGTGTAAGTTGCTAGTGTGGAACATTTAAAAAAGTAACACTGAAGAAGTGACGTTTACTGTTTCTGTTGATTATNTCATGAAAAGATCTCAAGGAAAACGACAACAAAGAAAAATACATAAACTACTCAGCATTATTATTTTTGGCCCATAATACGTTTTTCTAGTGTATAATCATGTCTTTATAGCTTATAATTCAATGTATTTTGTTCATTACCAATAAATTATATTTTGTCGTGTTTTTACTCTTCTTTCTCTACATTTTTAGTACACTTCTAAGCAAGTTAGGATTTTCTGCTTTTCACCACGTGAAAAAGCATCTCATCTTCCATCCGAATCAACCAAAAAGTGAAAATTGATTTTTTGACACCTAAGCCCCCTTTCCGTAGACCAGGTCACATATATCGTCGTTTAAAATAAAATAAAATTTGCAATTTTTTTTATGTAAATAAGGCAATTTCGGAGAAATTGTCAGTTATGACTTTCAATGTGTGACCATCGATATTTGTATGTATGTCTGTAAATCTTACTTTGTAAATTTATTACTTTGAAAATGTATTTCAATTACTGGTATTGTTTTATTTTGTAGTTTTGCAACTACTATTTTATTGTTCTGCAACCCGTGGAAGTGGTTACTTTTTAACATTTGCTGCTCTGTTAACATTAAAATTCCTTGCAAACAATGTATGCTATCAGAACTGCAGTGGAATGCAGAAAATAGCAGTGGAATGCATTTTTTAAAACTACATTTGCGCATTACAATATGTGGTATCTATTTTCATAGTGCAATGCTTGACTGAACTGGCTGCTTGTTTAGAGTCAGACACTGTGGTCCTGGTCCCTGTGGCTGACTTCGTTGGGTGATCATAAATCCAGGTTAGTATTTTGTAAATTCATTGTGAATACAGAAAGGTGAATTAATTTTTTTATCTTTTTATAGGTTGGGCAAATGCGTACGGATAAATCTTTTCCACCTTACGACTTAATAAAAAGTACCCAAGAATTTCATCAATGTTTTCGTCATTGAAGATCAACAAAATTTTTGAAAAAGTTTTAGCTGTAGAGATATATTTTTTTTATAAATTTAATTAATTGAAATTTTCGTCCTACTAAGGTGTTTCGTGTTGGCTTTTGTAAGACAGTCTACAGTGCTAATGCGCCACTTACTAAAACGTTGGCTGAGTTTAATTATATTCCGAATATAATAGATTTGGACCTCTCTGGTACCAAACATTTATTTCAAACGCAAATAACAAAATTATTTTCTATGTAATAACTCAAATTAATTCAACACACATGTTTTAATATTATTGCCTTGTATTATTAATTATCTACTGTATTTTTATTTCTATTTTTATTATTAATACTAACTATTGTTGTTAAGTACAAATTTTTTAAATGTCTGTTCTGATTTGATTCAAGACATTAAATAAATAAATATTATTAAATTAAAATGAAATTTTGGTTTTTATTTACGAAGGATTAAAAAAAAGGTAACTGCTTGAAATGAACAGAGTAACAAAAAGGTGACCGCTCGGGTAACCGACGCACCAGGTCGAGGTAACAAAAAGGTAACCAAGACGGTAACCCTTTGCTAACGGACAGGTAACCGGCAGAACGGTTTGAGGTAACCACCGAGTAACCTGTAGGGTAGCTAGCATAAAAGGGTTCTGCTAACAACAGAGTAACAGCTGCAGTAACTAGGAATCCCGTTAGCATGAGAGCAACAGAAGCAAGCTCAAAAGCAATGGGATAGAGTGAATAAAAACATCACACGTAGGCATGATTCAATAATGAAAGGTTTTGTAAGAAAAACTTTCTCTCGCTCTAATTTTATCAATGACACTCCCACCCTACTCCTAAAAACAAACACAGTGATATTTCTTTTCCAAATTTCTTTGCAAGTTTTAAGAACATTTTTAAATTGTTAGTAGTGAAATTTTTACTTTTTAAATTTGAAGAAATGTTTGTTCTGCATTCGCTGGCGCCAACAAGACAAAATGGGTGAGAATCGTTGGACTACAGAAATTCAATGTTAAGAGACGAAATTCCCTTAAATGCCGAAATGTATTTGTCGATATTCGTGGAGACCTCTTGATTCTGCCAAGTCGCTGTAAAGTAAAGCGTTCAATGAGCCAACGAAGGTATTTAGGTATTGTACTCCACGACACAATCCTGGTGTCTCCGAATGAGATTTTGACGCAATATAACATTGCCAAACCGCATCCATAGGCCCAATCGTCACACGACAGCTCGGTTTAGTCAATGGCGCGATGTAATTGCACACTTAAAAGGTGTACGCACGAGGCGAATGTTGGCTGGCGACCAACTTTATTGAAAGCGATTAGCTGAAAGTAGAATGCAAAGTTGAACAATACAAACGCCTTTTTATGGCGAATATTTTAATATTTTTTTATATTTTGATATTTTTAGTCATTCAAATTTTTTTTCGTGCAACCCGGCGGGAGTTGAACGCAAAAGTTGCCTGAAAAATCGCCTCGTGCGAAAGCCCCATTACGCCACTTCTCATTTGACGATGTAGATCACGTTCCCTATCTCAGTCGTTCAGTAGCTGCGTGCTCTGAGTTCGTCCGGCACCAATCGCCAACTGCGGCTGTGCAAGCCAGTGTTGAATATTTTCCCCAGAACATAAAAAGTGCGACATCAAAGAATTCGAAACAATCGAGCCATAACCGCGAAAGAAACGTAAGCTCCAAATTTTTTTATTTGCCGTTTTTTTGTTTAATAAATATTGCATATTTTCCGCAAACAAATAGCTTCTTCATGTCCATCAACTGGCAAACAAATACAACAAAAAAAAAGCTGAAAGTGGACCATCCATTCTCGAGTTATGCGCCATCTGACGTACGCAAGTTTGGTATAAACATAGAAATATTTATTTTTAATAACAATAGGGGGTTATATTCGATGTAAATAAGCTTGTTTAAATTAAATAATTAAATCAAATTCGTTTTTGTTTTAAAATACCACCATTCACTATTATCCACACGTTTTTATAGAATTTAGCTCCCATTTTAGGAAGTGTGATTGAATTCTTCCCCTTTTTCTTCTGCTTCCAAAAACCATCCCTGTGGGTGGGAGTGCCAAATTTTAGAAAAAAGCTACTTACAAAACCTTTAATAATTGAATCATGACACGTAGGTGTAGCAAGGCGAGGAAGTATCAGGCCTGTTCCGGTTTTCGATTTCGAGTGAATTTTTCGAATTCGATTTGACTACCTGTTGTGAGCTTCACAAATCGACTAAATTTTTCGATTTCAATTCGAGTGCTTTTATGCAAGCGAATCGAAAAGTAATCCAAAAATGTGCATTAATTATTATGATAGATGGAAAACATTTGTATTAAGAAATTTGATGTCTTGAGATTGTTTCCGTTTTATTTTTTTTCCTTTTTAATTTAGTTTTTATGCATAATAACAAATTAAAAATTAAATGTACTTTTTGGCCATACAATGAAATCGAATTTAAGAAAAAGCTGTTTTGGTTTTCACATTTATACATGATTAAATGGAAATGAAACTAATTTCCAACGTAAAGGGTTGCTATCTCTATTAAGAAACAAGTGCAATACCTTGGAACAAATATGGTAAACAAATTAAGTAAGCCAAAGCTATTTTTAGATCTTTTGGAGTTACATTTTTCATTTCTAAATAATAATAAATAATTTGTACAATTATTCAAAACTTTTAATTGATTTGGTAATGCAAAAATATAAAACCAAACACTACTCTATGGTTTGAAAAAATTGTTTTACTTATACAAGGTAACCCTGTCATCTTGTTTACTTTTGTCAATCAGCTGTTAGCAGAAATATAAAGTTATGGCCAGCAAAATGTAGTACAAGCTTTTGTTGAATTTATTGTAAATTTTTTTAAGTTTAATGCATCTAAACGTTTTTATTTCAGGAGCAAACATAAGAACAGCCAACTAGAACAGATTTTTATTAATTGTAAATATGCCTGAAAATGTAGATTTGGCAAAAGGTCCCATAAAAGGTGACAAAGTCGCTGCGGACGCAAAATGGGTGAATGTTGTCTCCTCTCTCAATAGTGCTGGCCCGCCAATTAAAGATGTAGCTGGATGGAAAAAAGTAGTGTATATTACTTGCATTGTTGTATTTGTTTACTAATTTTCATTTCGTATAGGTAGGGATTGATTGGAAAAGTACAATTCGCAAAAAGCTTGCACATAACAAAAAGGAAACAACTGCAACAGGTGGTGGTCCCTTTGCGCAGCTGCCATCAACTGCAGTGGAAGAAGAAATGGCTCGTTTTGTGGTCTGTATTCGATGGCAGAGGGAATGAAAGGTAGCAAAACCTTTGGTTTCTGCCAATGCAGCGATGTAAAGCAGCCAAAATGAAAAAAATTTTAGCGTACCAGACGCAGAAGAGGGTGAATCTCCCCCGAAGCCAAAACGAAGGCGACGTACGATGCCGGATGATTTAGAACCCAAAATGAGGTCTTGGAGTGTGTGGCCGAGAACTTGAAGCAGCTCAATAGGAATATTGAAAGGCAAAATGAAATTCAAGAGGAAGTTCTTCAAATACTAAAAAACAAATTTCAATAGTTTTTTATGTGTATTTAACATATGTGAGCAATATCAAATTTCATATATCTCTTAAACAAATAAATGAAATTCCAGAGCGACTATATATATGTATATATTAGACTGCATCACCAAAAAAAGTTGCGGTTTTTCCGCCGGGATTACAAAATATATTATAGTCTAAGACATACACCAAAATACCTCGGAAAAATATTAAGATTTAAGCGAGCTGGACCGATTTGAAAGTACCTCCAAAACTGAAGTTTTTTATGAATAAAACTAGTTTTTTAAAGAAATTTTTGGAAAAAGTCCCCTCAGATGACAAATTAGATTAAGCTTAAAAAATCTGCATAAAAATATTTAAAGATCTTTTCAACGGAACCGTAAAAATTAGATTTTTGATGCTGTTTTTTTACTTTTTTCAAAGATTGGTTTACGAAAAACTTGAATAACTGGGCCAAAAATGTTCTGATTTAGACTTATGGGATCTCAGTAGAAAAGTACTTTCACACTTTTTATTTCTGGCCAAAAAAACGTCATTCGTGTCCCATCTTGTTTTGTCGAATACCAGCACATCTTAATTCAACTTTGAATGACGTTCGTTCATCATACCTTTCTCTTCCATGCTTTGAATGAGTTTATTAGCAAAGAAAAAAAAGGGCGAGGAAATACCTTTCCAATGACACCTATATTAAAGGGAATTTCTTGTAGAATAAAATGAGCATGACCGTTTGCAAACAAAATTAAAAAATTAACGCTCTATTTTAGAAACTGCACTTGTTATATGCATAAAACCGCAGAATCCGTTTACAATTTTACAAAATTTTATAATATCAGATTGAAAAATAAATAACCTAAATCAATGAAGACGCAATGGCGTCTCTTATTGCAGAACTATTGCCATCTGCAATCATTGCATCTGCATCTACCTCATCCTGAGTTTCAATGTTTATTGGCTCAAGTGAATTTTCGCTCTCACCGGGGATCTGTATATTTCGTCTGCGACACATATTGTGCAAAGCACAACACACGTTTATTAATTTGCAAACGAACCTGGGGTTATACTGCAACGTGCCTTGTAAACATCGAAATCGGCTTTTTAGTAATCCAATGGTGCGCTCCACAATGTTTCGAGCTGCTGCGTGGCGTTTGTTAAAAATATGTTGCGTAGATCCGTTTTGAGGGGACCTGTATGGTGTCAATACGAAATTCTCCAGGGTATAAGCTGAATCGGCCAAAACAAAACTATTTGGTATATTTAGCCTTGAAAAATATTCTCTGGCTTCACTGCTTTTCCAAATAAAGGAATCGTGACAAGAACCGGGATGTGTGCTATCAATTGCTAAGATCTCCATATTGTAGTTGCAGGCCTACAAGCCAAAGATTTTAGTATAGGATGAAGCGAGTAAATTGTTAGAATACGAACTATCATTGTATGCAAACTGTAGTATCCTTTTCGGTTTAAAAATACTGATTCATCCACAACTGGCTTTAGTATTTTGACGTGTGTACCGTCAACACAGGCAATAACGCCAGGCAAAGAAAATTTTTCGTAAAAGTACTCCTTGGATTTTGCGATCTCATTCGGCCTCATTTGTAATTGTATTCATAACAAAGTTGCTCTTCCATGTGATTAACAACGTTGTGCAAAACCTTTGAGAAAGCGCTTCTGCCAATGTTAATGTCATGGTCTTTGCTACGCCTAACTGATATGAACCGGTTGCAAGAAAACGAAGCACTG